TCACGTTTATAGGGCATTCTTTCATAACATAAACTTATGAACCCTTTTCTAAGACAAAGCTGTGATTGTATGTATTCCCTCCTGATACTTTATTATCGCCAAGTTCTTTTCCTACTCGACAGTGGGAACAGGTGGGAGGTGTGGGCCTATGGCAGTGTTTGCCCCACCTAGTGGGGTGTGAATGGAAAAAACTTCAGAGCCGTTTGTTGGGAGCAGATGGGCTGGGGGTGGGGTGTCTGTGAGGCCCGTGTTGTGAGAATGCAGGTTTTGGGTGAGAGGCCCTGTAGATATTTTAAAACTCACGGTCAAAGGGCTGGTGACCTCGTATGTTGCAGCCACGTGGCACTGGGATTCCCCACTGGGCATGGGTGTGGGTGGCTCCTGGGCCCGGGCTGTGGCCAGGATGGGAGACGCCACCTCACGTCGGGGGCGGAGCTAACCCTGAGACTGCGGCAGCTCTGTGCAGCAAGGGGTCCTGCAGCAGGGCAAATGGGGGCACGCCTCTGGCCCGGATGGAGCACCAGTGCGGGACAACAGCTTGTATCTAGTCTGCCTGCCCCACTTCCTCCCAGGGGTGGGTCTCCCTGACCTGGGGGTAAAAGGCTGCCGGAATGGATAGAGCAGATGCAGTCCCGCCAGCAAGGAAGTGCTAGGCTGTGCCACAGACTCCTGGTGGGCAAGGTGAGCTGCCAACCAGGCCCAGCCCCTCACTGCCCAGAAGGTAGAGTGGTCAAGGCACTATGGACTCCCTAGGTTTGAAATCCAGCTCTATTCTTTACTAGCTCCTTGACCCTGGATGATTTACTTAACCTCAGTTTTCTCATCAAAAATGTAGTTATCTCATCAGTTATGGGAGGGTTAACTGAGTTAATGCATGTAAAATGTGCAGCATAGACCATGGCTCGTGGTAAGTGCTTAATAATTGTTAGATATTATTATTACATTATTAGGTTGTATCTGTTGGAGCCTGCCAGCATGGGTGGGAGAGCACGTGGAGGGGCCACTGAGTACAGCTGTGCAGGTTGTGCACTGTACAACTCAGGGCACCATTTCCACAGTAGTGCCTTCTGGAGTAGCGCAGTATGCAACCTGTGGGGCTGTACACTGGCCCTAGATGCCCTGGGCATCCCGACTTCAATTTCTAATAGGTACCACTTGAAGTCGGACCATTTGGGGGCAAGGTCTCAGAGAAGATTAAAAAAGGAGGTAGTGTGGCTTTTGAGTCGAGCTACAAAGCTTCGAACGAGGTATGGCTCAGCCCTTGAAAAGGTTACAGGACTAGAGGAGCGATAGTTAGAATCTTGGCCAGGTCACTCCTCTCTGGGCCAAAGCTCTTCCCATCAGTCCAGGGCGGGTAGGGTGGGGTGGTGGAGTTAGTTTCGGGATGACAGAAAGGCTTTCCCCTCGTATGCCAAAGTCTGACTGATCGGCAGGGGCTGTCTGAGGCTTTGTAAAGTGAAGAAATCAGAGGCCACTTTGGGCTGGGTGGGAGGGGCTCTTTGATTGATTAGTGATGTCTGCATGAGGCCAGAGAGCGGGGAGCAGTGGCATGTAAGTTTGGGCTTCTCACCCTCCTCAGCCCAGTGGTTCTCCATGCTGACTGCACCTTAGAATGCACCAGAGAAGGCTTAACCACGCTCTGATTCAGGGATGTGGCCTGGCATCGGTTAACGGTTTTCACAAGCTCTGCAGGGGATTCTAACGTGTGGCCAGGTTGAGAACTGCCGGGGTGGACGTCCCTAAGTTCCCTGAAGTCCTGAGCTGTACGACTTCTCGGCATGGTTCATAGATCATGGAACTTTGAGCTTTCTTCCAGCAGAAATGACAGGGGCTTCCATCAGTTTGACTGCTGGAGAGGATTTGTCTTTAAGTTGGGAGATAGAGGCTGAAGGCCCTGGCTGCAATCGGGGGTTGGGGTATCCAGGGTGACCTCTTCTTGGGCAACATTGTGGAGTTTCACTGGGAAGAGGCCCAGGCTTTGCATCGGAGGGATCTCCTGGGACTCGAAAAAGCCTGGCCCACACTGGCTTGATCAGGAAAGTCCTGTGACTCCATTGATTTCTCTTTTAAGCTCCTCTCCTGTCCCCAGGGTAGGTGGGACGTTGGGACGATGCAGAGGCCCACTGAGGTCTGCAGGAAGTAACGTGCCCCAAACTCACAGGCCCATTTCTGGGCCTTTGGAAGGATGGCCGGGGAGAGAAGGAAGCAGAGGAAAGCTGACCGGGGCCGCTGAACTGGAGAACTCAGGGCCAGGGTGCCAGGCTTAGAGGTGGCGCAATAGGACCACAGGCAGCCCTGGATGCTGACAGCTCCCCCAAATTACAGTCAGGGCGGCCAAGGTGAGATGTTTCTGGGAGGCCACCCTGGCCTCAGCCCCACCACGGGCCCAGAATTCAGCCAGAATTCAGCCAGCTTTCCTCGGCCCCTCCGGACCAAGCCCTGGAATTTCAAGGAGCAGGCCATGCAGGGGCTTTGCCCCCCGCCCGGAGCAAGATAGAAGCACTCAAATAACATAGAGTTCAATAATATTTTAAAATAAGCTTTATTTAGATTTTTTTTTATATTTTATATTTGCATCCATGCCTTCGAGAAACCTTCCCCATGGGAAAAGTTATTTTCAACTAATTTACCCATAACTCATTCGCTATTTGACGTAGTTCTCTTAAATAAATCATCCTTAGTAACTCTTAGATTTATCTCCTAATTTACAAAAACTGAAATGAAAAGGAACTACTAAATCATTACCAGGAGTGGTTGCAATCTTATGTTCTCATAAGTAAAGGGCAAACAATAAAAATCAACCGAAAGGAAACAAAAAATCATGGGGGAGAAAAGTATTTTCTAAAGTCTCTCTCCGTAGAGAAAGATGTCAGCTCCGGCCGCTCTCCCTCACCGCCAGGCTCGGTTAAACAGCTTAGCCGAAGGAGGCCAGAAAGATCCTTATTAGGTACCCTGCCTGCTCTTGCCCAGCAACCGCCTCCCCCCACCCCCGGCCCCCACTGAGTCAGAAGGAAAGGGAACAGCCTTCTGGTGCTTTTTCGTTTGCTTTAGAGACTTTGGACAAAATATCCTATCTTTCTGATAGAGATTCTCCAGCACTTTCAAATCTCCTTTCTTTGTAAGAGCTGAAAAATGTTACAGTTAGCAGAAAGCGCCACTACGGTTGTGCAGAGGGTGCGGGTCATCGAGCTGTGTTAGTTAAGGTGAAGCGGGGGGAGAGGGGGGATCCACAGGTCAACAAAACAAAAGGTTTAAGCTAGTTTTAGGCCTTAGGAGGCCCTGGCTTAGAAGCTCACGAGTTCTCCATCACCTGGCGTTATAATGCACACGGTTCCTTTGCTGGTGAAGCCTCACTGGGGCCAATGTTGCTCCCCAAATGGGCAGATTTCCTGCCAGCCCTTCTCTCCTGGGGTGAGGGAGCTCAGGCTGTTGTGACAAGTTGGGAGGACAGGGCCCAAGGGATCCCGGGAGATTCTATTAAGTGTGGCTGGAGGAACCAACCAGAATGGGGAGGGCAGAGAGGTTCTGGTGCTGGACATTGTGTCCCCAGCAGCCCTCCCCTTGAGGTGGGTGCCTCCCCCAAGGACACCTGCCTGGCCAACATGCAGAATGACCCAAGGATGAGAAAGACACAGCTGCAGGGAAGAACCTATGGCCTCTCGAGGCCCCTCGTGGCACCGACTCGGGCCGAGGGTCCCTGTGGCCATACCCTGTGGTCATGTGATTGGCTGTCTCACTCTGAACTCGACCGCTCTCAAAAGACAGACCCAAGAGAAGGTGACCATCACAGCTGGCCCTCTGCTCACTGAGGTCAGTTTTCCTTATTTCAGATAAATAGATATTTAGAAAGGGGGAAGAGCTATGGGTGGGAAGGAAGGTGGAGTGCACTTCCATGCAGGGGCAGAAGAATGGGGGAGAAAGAGAAGAAAGAACGGAAAAAAGCAAGCTTTGAAATCCAATGGTCCTTGGGTTCTGGCCACCCTAAAGTCTACCTTGCACAGTTTGGCAGCAGCATGATAATAGAACAGACAAGTCAACAAAACACCCGCCTCCCGCCCACCCCATGGAAAAATATACATTCCAATATTTATGTAATAATTTAGATAGAATAAGTCTTCTGCGTTTGTGCAAATAAATTAAACGGAACAATTGTCTTTTTTTTTTTTTTTTCCATAAAGAAAGAAACGGCAACGCAATTTAAAAACTGGCAGGCCGTTAAAAAGAGCCCGTTTGACCTCCGGCACGCCGAGCCAAGGTAAGCCGCCCCCCCCCCCCCCCGCCCCCAATCCCCTGGCCGGGCTCGCGGGTCTTGGCGAGGAGCCGACCTTACCCGACCACTTGGGCAGCCTGCGGATTAAAGTGACTCGGCGCCCCGGGGACAGGGTCTGGTCCCACGCGTTCACCCCGGGGGGGGGGGGGGGTGGGGGGGTGGGGTGGGGGAACGGGACATCAAAAACAGACCACATCCTTGGGCAGACGGGCTCCAGGAATAGCAGTTTGGACAAGGGACATTTACAAGCACGGAGTGCACAATAGTTTTGTTATTTACAAATACACAGCAGTCCTTCAAGTTTTCAAGTTTCATAAAAAAGGAGGAGGGGAGGGGAAGGGGGGGAGGGTGAGAAAAAAAAAAAACCCAACGAACCGAACAAAAAAGAAAAAAAAAACACGGAAAGAAACAGAAACAAACCCAGATTAACAACACGACTGTATCGCTCCGAGGACGACAGAGAGTTGACAGAGTCACACACGGTTGGAGTATGTACATCAATTACAGAGGTGGCGCCGCAGGGGGCGGGGCCCGCGCTCGGCCACGCCCAGCACCCACGTGCGCGGGAGCTCGCGCCCGCACACGCCCCGCCACGCACGCCCTGCCGCGCCCCCCCACCCCCGCGCTCGCACGCACGTCCACACGCACAGACACGCCTGCGCGCGGCAGGCGCAGGGAGGCGGGTATCACCAGTCCGCGTCCTCCTCTATGTAATAATCAGGGGCGGTACCATCAAAGAGGCCGGGGTCGAGGGACTTCCGCTGCTTCCCTCTGGCGAAGACGCGCGAGATGGAGCCGAATCCCATCTTCTCTTTCTTCTTTTTCCGTTTTTGGTCTTCAAGATCCTCTAGTGACTGAGGAGTCGGGCGGGCGGCGGGGGTAGAAGGAGAAGAACAAAGCCACCTGAGCTGGGTGCGGGGGGGGGGGGGAAGGGGACAGGGGACGGGCAGGCGGCGGGGGCCACGGGTGGGTGAAATGCCAGGGTCTGCCCCTCCTCGCTGGCGGAGCCCACTTGGGCCAGTTGCGGAAGCTCTCTGGGACCACGGCGGGACCCACCCAAGGCCGCTGTGAGGGTGGCAGCGAGGACCACCGTATTACAGCAGTGCCGGGTTACAATAACCCTTTAAATGATCGCTGACTGCAGCTCTACAGCTGTCAGTTTGCCCACACCCTTGGGGTGCTTCCTGAGGGCCTGCAGGAGCGCGTCTGCGCACTTGGCTCCCGCTGGGCCCCAGGCCTCGTCTGCGGGGACACTGCGGCAGGGGTACAGGTTGCCTGTAAAAACAAAGTCCCCATGGGAAAGGAGCCCCAGGGGAGCCCGGAAAATGGGGAAGGGGGCGACCTGAGCTTCGTGCCAGCCACGAGCAAGGGCTCTGGACCTTAAGGCCTTGGCCAAGAGGCTGGACTAGAGCGGGGAGGCTGGAGCTTGAGTTCTCGTCCTAACTAGGTCACTACCCATGGACTCTTGGAGCGCCCCTTGCCTCTCTCTGAGCCCAGTTTCCTCAGCTGTGATGTGGAGACCACAGTGATGTCGGGGATAGCCTCCTGTGCGGGCTAATGGGCCAGAGGGTGGTGTCTATAGGAGGGCTTTACAAACCGTCGAGTGCCTTACACAAAGACATGGAGTGTCATTGGGCAAAAGGTGGAGGTTAGACTAATGGTGCCCAAAACACATCAGAAGTACCTGAATTCCAGGACCCATCCCATACCTGGGGGCTCAGATCCTTCAGGCTTAAAGGCCCCCGGAATCTGCATTTGCAAAGTCTTTCCTGGTGGACTCTGATGGAGATGTGCCGTGCACAGACCAGCATCTGGGAACCCCAGGACTAGAGAGTCTGTCTCAGAGACCCCTCTCGACTCTCAGTTCAGGTTTTCCTGCCTGCGGTCCCCTCCTCACTGCTGACAGGGTACTGAAAGAACAGTTTCTTGCCGCAAGGGACCCAGTGAGCCTCTGGCCTGGGTCATCAACCACTGGCTGCCAGGAGCCACTCACCAGGGCAGTGGGACGGAGGATGTATGATGCACTTAGTGGGTCCACGGACTGGAAAGAGGATAGGGGAGGGCAGACGAGGCACTGAGCCTGGCTCAGACGCCAAACCTGGATTGACTGAAGCAGTGGCTTAACTCTTCTCTGCCTTGGGTGTCCAAGAATGGAAGTGGGGATGCCGAGGGCCCAGGGGAACAAGGGGTGGGGGGAGTGGGCCCAAATGGCCAGGGGAGGCACACCTACCTGTACAATAGGGTTGTGCAGGTTCTTCTGAACTGGGCCGGGACTGTCGCCCTGCAGCCAAAAAGAGGGAGAAGATGAAACAGATGCGAGACACATGGGAGCAGAGGTGGCCCGTGGAGCATGGGGCCTTCTGTGGAAGGAAGCCCTCTCTTAGGGACCACCCTGCCTCTGTGCTGGGGAACCCACCCCCGCCTGCCCTGAAGCAGACACTCCCAGATGGCTCAGCAATGGCACCTGGGGTTCAAGACGCTGCCTGGTCCAGAGGTCCTGGGGTGCTCTTGCCTACTCAGGTCTCTCAATGACCCCCTTCCCCCACCCAACACCCGCTGATCAACAGATCAACTGAAGGCTTCTAAGTTCCTGTCCCAAATGGTCCATCGAGTTGGGACTGGAGGTTGGTTATACTTGGGATTTTTCGTAAAGAAATATGGTTTTAAAGACAACACAAAAAAATTTCAGGACAGGAAGACACGGGAGACCATGTAGCTTCTAATTCCCCCCCACAATTCAATGCATTTCTTATTTTCTGGAGGTGCAGGCAGGGCTCATTAGCCTGATTTACAGATACAAAGAGGCTCTGGACAATCCAACGTGATGGAACTAATTGTAAGCGGAACAGGAACAGATCTGGGACTGTTTCTTCCTGGTCCAGTGCTTCCTTCCGTGGGCACGCAAAGGTGGCTGTACACAAAGCCTTCGCTACAGCCCAGACTCTGGCTGCCCTGCCTGGGGGGCAAACGGATCCCTGGGATCACAAGTCATTAGTGGGGGGGGGGGGCCCTCTGATGGTGGTTTCCAGAATTGCAGGCAAAATATCAATGAAAAAAACAAAGTATGTCATTTGGGCCAAAGTCCACCAATCTTCAACTTCCCTGCACTTGGTCCCCACCTCTGCTCTAAATTAGTGGCCACAGAGTAAGAGGATGGGGAAGTCCTTAGTCTGGGCTGGGCTGTTCTTGCTGGTACCAGGTCCAAGGCCCGAGAACAGAGGGTTACCTGGTGCTTTTTCTAGGCTCTTCTTGGCTTACCTGTGTGCACATCTGTTGAAATGGGGGATGAACGTGGCTGAGGGTGGGCGGGAATGGAACAAATGCTAGTTTAGTCTTTAGTCCCAGCCCAAGGTTTGCAAACAGAAACTAATCTGGCGGGCCACTGAGATAGGTCTACTTTAATGGGGAAGAGAATGAAGCCAGTGCCCACTGAAATAGCTGTGTGCAGACAACTGGCTTATCAAAGCACCCATTTGCTGGCAGCAGGGCCCCTGTGATCTCGGAAATAAATATGCTGGACTGCCACCTGTAGCAGCCGGTATGTGTCAAGGCCAAGTTGAGCAAAAGGCTAGGCCAAATGCAATTCAAGAGGTCTTTAGAGAACCCGTGCTGAGAATGGGCTTTCCTACGGGATTTTGGCTATCAGAGCCCCCTTGGGCCCACCACAAGAAGACAAAATATGGCCCCTGGGAAGGTCTTCTCATTTGGGGTGTGCATGGCTACTCTTAAGTCTCTGGCCCATGCTCGAAGAATGAGGGGACCCTTGGCTGTTGAGTACAGCCCAACAGTGGTCCCGCAGAACCAGAGGACAGATGTCAGAGGCCCTCTAGTGGCCCTCGTTCTGTCATTCAAGACCACCTCTGTCACGGGGTTCTGTCGTGGGAACTAGAGAAGAACAGATTGCTTCCTTAAAGCCCCAGTTAACAAAGAATCCCAGCCTTGAGTGGGATTCAGGCCCGAAGTGACCTTCTTGGCATCCGGCCTGGGCTGAATGAAGCCCTGGGCCAGCGATCCCCACGGTCCGTGTTGCCAGGTGAAGGCAACTATTTTAATTTCAGGCTTAGCTACTTTTATCAGTAGTCTTTAGCTACTCCCCATTGTTCTCGTAGACTGGACAAGAGTTTCCAGTACGATCATTCATAGATAGAAAAGTTACTGATTTTTAGACGCTGATTTTCAACCAGTCCCGTTAATGTACTTGGTCATTATCGGTTCTAATAGCTTTAGAGGTTATTCTCTTGAGTTTCCAGGTTAGGAAAGCAGATCAGTGGCAAGTGATGGTTATTTTGTCTTTCTTTCCTACCGTATTAACCTCATTCCTCCTATCAGTCTCACTGGTTAATAAAACATTAAGTGAATTTTTGAGAAAGCTTTCTCATGCACTTGAACGCCTAACTCTACTGCGTCTCTGCCTTCACGGCAGGGGGGCCGCCCTCCGTAGTATCAACCATGTGACAGAACAAAACTGTAGCGTGGCCTCCACACCCCGGATCCAGTGTCTCCCGTTCGACCCTCCGTATGGTGTCGTCCTGTCCTCAGATGCCTGACCCACCTTCGTCCCCTTCTCGGGAGCCCGACTGTCTGCTCTGCCAGTCACCAAGAGTGAGGTGGCCGGGGACCCGCACCTTTTGGTAGCTGGTGCCCAGTATGCCATCAAAGAGCATGTGATTAAGCAAAAGAAAAAAAACAACAACCCGAGAACAAATTCGTGGGACACCTCTCCAGAAGTAGCATTTGCCCAGACTCCTGGAAATTAAAAAACAAAACAAAACCTGGCTTATCCCAGGATGAAGGACTGAGAGCTGGCTCTCCACGGAAGTGAAGGGTGCTGGTAAGGCCCCGAAGGAACCTCTGAGAGGAGAGGCCCGCAGTCCTAGACCAGAGGTAATCCAGGCTGCACGGACCCTGAGCCGACCCAGGCCCGCCTTCCTCTGGGTTTTTCTGGCCCTCCCGGACACAAGGAGCAAACAGGCCTCATTCCTTTCTCCCCACATCCATCTCTTCTTGCAAAAGGAGAGAACAGAACAGGAAATGCCTTCGCCAGAGTGCTCCCTGGGTGGACGAGAGGAAACAGCGGGTACGTCTTCACCCCTCCACCCCGCCCCTGCGGTTTCCAGGCAAGGGCCCGGGGCCCAGGCCCTGCTGCTGCTGGCCTTACGTTGCAGAGGGAGTGCGTCCGGTGCCGAGGGGAGTTGATGTCGCTTGGCGTGGACGACCGGTCGCCTTCGGCGGCAGATGCGTCGGAGATGACAGAGGGCTGCCGCGAGTGGCAGGGGCTCACCCTGACCGCTGGAAAGCAGGGACAGCTGGTGAGTGAGGGGTGGAGAGCATGTCCTCGCCTGTGCCGCCTGCAGTGGCGCCCCTGTGCTCCCGTTACGCAGGTGAGAATGCCGAGGCATAGAGAAGAGACTGTCTAGCCCTTTGCCCTCCGCTCCCCAGACCCACACACAGCCAAACGGCAGCTCCTGGGAAGGTCCCGCATGGCCTCTGGATCCGAGTTGGCCCTCTCCTAACCGCAGTGAAGGAGAAGAGGCCCGAGTTTCCAGGGACCTTGATGACTGTCCTCACCATGCTCTCACCAGCTGGACGTTCCCTAGACCTGGCTCAATCCTAACTGCTGGTCAACACCAGCTTTCCAAGTGAGAAGCCTAGCGGCCACCACTGGGTCCCCTCTTTCCCCTACACCCAGCACCCAGTCATCAGCACCTTCAAACACAACCCCCAATCCATCCACTTTTTTTTTTTTTTAACTTTTAACATTAATTCATTTTTGAGACAGAGACAGACCATGAGCAGGGTAGAGACAGAGAGAGAGAGAGAGAGGGAGACCCAGAGTCTGAAGCAGGCTGCAGGATCCGAGCTGTGAGCACAGAGCCCGACGCGGGACTCGAACTCACAAACTCTGAGATCCTGACCTCAGCCAAAGTCGGACGCTCAACCGACTGAGCCACCCAGGCGCCCCAAATCCATCCACTTCTCTCCAACACCACCCCCAAATCCGTCCACTATTCTCCAACCCCACTGTCATTACCCAAGCCGAAGCCACTGCCGTCTCTCACCCGGAAGACCGTGCGGCCTCCCAGCCTCCAATGAACGGGAGTCCTTGCTGACTCCATTCCTCACGCTGCAGCAGAGCCGGGCATCTGGTCACCCTTGGGTGGGGGGGGGGGGGACCCCCAAGGCCCAAAGGGATGTGGCCCCGGCCACCCTACCAGCCTTGGCTCACATCACACTGGCTTTCTGACAGTGCCTGACACAGGCCATCTCCCTCCTGCCTCCATCTTGGCTGGTCCCGCTGCTCCACCGGGAGGAGTTATCACCGTTCACGTCTCTCCGCCTGTCCTGAGAGAGGCCTCCCCCAACTGTCCGCTCTCCCCACGCTTTTCCCCCACCAAAGAGCCTGTCTTCCGCCGATTTCACTCCCTGTTGAACGAGACGGACTGAGGGCCTCCTGTACGCAGGCAGCATGGGAGCAGGGAGCGGACTGGGCTGCATCACGACAAAGATCGTCCTTCCTGCCAGGGGCCATACGGTTCGATGTGGGGGGCTGGCGGGGGAGAGGGGTGCACAGCGGGCTTTGCGGTCAGGGACTTGGGTACCCAGCTGGGCGACGGCAGCACCTGCGGGCTCTAAAGGCCAGCGGCCAACCCCCAACTTGCACGCGTCGCCCAGAGGCAGCCACTCAACACAGGGACAGAGAACAGAGCCAGGCGGGCCGCGGACGGGCGGAGGGGTTTGGGGCTTGTACCACGGCCAGTGGGTACAGACGCTGCCCGGAGGCCGCACCCTTCCTCCCACCAGTGCCCGGAGGGAACACGTGTGACGTTTACTTGTGGCCCTCCCATGCACCCCGTGACTGTGAGGCCCTGCGGTCTCCCCTGCCAAAGGATCCCATGAGACCCAGGCTGGAGAATCCGTGTTCCCGCTCCCTGGACACAGTCATTGGTCCAGGGGGTGGGCACGTGATCCAGGCTGGCCAATCAGAGTCCTTCTTCGGGATTTACCATACGCCCAGAGAAAGCGCTTAGTTTTTCTTTCTCCTGACTTTTGCACTTAAAGACCTTAAAAGCCTGAAACTCCCGGAGACCGTTTTGCTGCTCTGTGGAAAGAGAGGGCCTAAAGATGAGGCCGAATGGAGGCAGGTGGAGCGGAGAGGCGGGGGGGGGGGGGGGGGGG